TATATATATATATATATATACTATATATAGATATACATAGTCATTTACACTTTATTATATACGATATACTAATATACATATATACATTTATACTATACATACATACATACATACATACATACATATATACATACATACATACATACATACATACATATATATATATATATATATATATTATACAAACCAACTTACTTGATCTTACATAGCTTCAAGAAGTTTAAGCAGGCCTTAGGAGCATCGTCAGTATATAGATCCACTGTAATGTCCCCCTTGGAGGTTTCTATCAGGACGGACATCACGCCTATCAAATATGCTAGCAACTGACTTTCAACATGAACAACCAGCTGAAACTGTAGACAGAGTTGTTATCAACTGGCTATGGTAGGATGTAAATAAATAAATAAATACAAGCGAAAGGTACATAAATTTGCATTTGGTACCGAACATTTTATAGTTTAGAAAGTCGGTAAAAATTATATACCTAGTAAAAAAATATATATATATATAAAATACTGCGTGTCCAGTACACTGCGTGTACAGAGTATGTACATCTGTACTGTATGTATCATCATTTTATATATATAGAAATATGTACACACATAAACACTTATTTACATAATATGATATCCAAAAGCCCTCCCCATTTTCTAAAGGGATTGTGAGAGTGTGAAGAGTGTGAGAGTGTGTAAATAAATATTTAACTCCGGTTTGTAAGATTATCGAGTTGCGGCTTGCGAGTGCGAGCACTGCGTGGGATTGCGCGAGGTATCGTGAAGAGATATGTAGTACACAACTAAAATATTAACACGTGAGGATCTTAGGTGGCAGACCGGGGCAGTAGCTGCCTATACCTATTGGCTTGGATCGTAATTCTCACAAACGCATCCTCTCGTGTCTGTTTCTAACTAGGGCTTTGTTTGCTGGTTGGGAATTTGCGTGGCAAGGGAAGAGCAAAGGTATACAAATGCATTCAACTCTGTTCACTCGCAGAGTACTTAAAAGGAACCACCACACACACACAAGACATCCAGCGTCTCTCAAACCATGTGTGCAGAGAATATAGCTATCGTGCAGAGTCGCCTGTCCAATGGAATAAATCAATTTCCTGAGGTACATATCAAGTAAGTTTGTGTCTGTAGACATAAATTGCCTAGGCTCCCTTTCACTAGTTTAAACGTCGTTACCAAGTTTTCTGCGATTTTTTTTTAATTGTTGGTTCTCACAGTGGATAACCCACTCCTAGAAGCTCGTGAAACATGCCCTAATAGAGACTGTGGCTCCCATCTATGACCTGAACCTCCTCTCCTATTACCCAGGTAAGCGAACTCTGGCACTACTGCGTATAGTGCGTGTACAATAGTCTCGACACCATGCACATACGCCCGTGTCGACCATAACGTCACATATTCAATACCACTCGACTCAGGGGTCACACATACACCGACACAGTAAATTCTGTGTCAGAAAATGTCCGAGACTCCTATTGTGCGAATCTTGGCGTTGCTTCCTAATTTCCAGCAAAATCAGAACACTTACAGCACTCCAAACATTGGAATGGCTTCTATTTACTTTACTATATTACTTTTAACTGGTGTACACTTTGATAGCACCGTCTGCGCCTCCGCTAGCTACAAAGTTCCGTACAGGATGCCATTCAACTGTCAGAACAGATTCTTCGTCTTTCTGCCGGTGAGTCGTCGCTATTTCTTGCACACACCGTCCTGCTTCCATATCCCACAAGCGCAGAGATCGATCCCGACCTACATGGTAAATAAATCGTCAGCTTGAATTGAATATTCTGTTCGACTAGCAGTCTGTGTCGCGACTTTTGAGCGTGTTCTGATGTACGGAAATTTAGATTATCTGCAATTTTTAGTTTAGCTACTGCTGGATGTGATCAGACCAATAGCATGCAGTTATAGTGCAGGTGTTCTGCGTTGTGCAAATCGTCCAGCAGCATCACGGAAGACCATGAGCAACGAGAAGGAAAAACTAACGCTTGCAGTCGAGTTTGGCACTCCTGGCGGAAAATTTGCGCATATGCCCACTGCTATGAGCAAGCTTCCAATTTTACTTGGCGAACTTTCGCATGTTAACAGACGCGAATAAGCGCATTCCAATTTTCCAGTGGGTCAACTCAGACATATATACGCTGGTTCCTGAGCACCGGTCGTGTGCAATTCAAAGATCGCACAAAAAAAATAAAGTGAAAGGTTTACAGGTATCAGATTTGCCTACTACTCTAAAGAGATAAAGATACGAAAGGCTGCCAATCATTCAAATCAGCCAAGTAAAATGCTTAGTCATCTCAAAACTTACTCGATGTCATGTAGTAAAGTCCGGTTGGGTCAATGGCTATGTGGGTGACACACTCGGGATGTGCCATATGCGTATTCACTTGACGACCTATGTCAAGGGATGAGCAGCGGAAGATGTATGTAAATACCTGCAATGCTGAGCATTTCAACCAATAGCTCGCTATACAGGTCCAATCGCAGCTAATAAGGGTCATTTGAGTCTGACCCGAACATACATATCGGTGATAAGGCATACTCACACTCTCTTCTTTTTAGTGCAAAAAAAAAATCCTCCTCGCCAGCTCGTGGTTTTAAACTTGAGAGCCTACAGCGTGTCGGTCTACAAGCTATAATACTATTAAATCATGCAGATGGGGAACGAAGCGTGCAGAGAGCAGAAAAATCAGGTCAAGCTGAGATACTCCGTAGATCGAGATATGGTTTAGTGGTGGCAGCTCAAGCAAGTACATATATATGGGTGAAACTTGCATAGTACTTCGGTTCATTGAAACCGTCTCTAAATCTGCATTAATCAACCGCAACTCTGAACATAATAGGACATGAAATATATAAATTTACACATGACTCTACACCATGCACGAGTGACACATGGCGCAGGAAGTGCTCCTGTCTATACGGCTACGTGTACATATGAGAGTTCACTAGTACGTCACCATTGTACAGGAGAGACCTACGAAAGGGAACGAGCTCGCAAGACAAAATATATAACCATGGTGAATACATTTATGACCATATGAAACGTAAGTCCATTTATCGACAATACGGAACTAACCTGTAATTGTGTCGAAGAAGAATAACCTTCCATCATCGTATGAAGCAATCAGCAGAGCCTTTGTATGGTGGCACACTGCGTGGGTAGGTTTGCCCCTTTTCTCCTCATCTAAGATAAGGATGTAAAATTTAGATATATTTCCTTTTAAATGTACATTCTAGAAAGCTACTTCGAGATGCTCTAAGGGAAAAGTGTCGAGTCTGAAAGGCAAGGGTCATGTACTTATGGCGATCTTAGTGTTCAAGTGCATAGCTGCTGTTTAGCATGTACAAAATTTACATCTTGAAATCACAAAGACTTGCTAGCTATAAGTATGATGCAGGATATGAGACGCCCAAATAGACATCCACGAAGTACACGTTCATCTGAATACAAACACTAGATGTTGTTTTGTTCGGACAAGAGATGGCATAATTGAAAAAGCCAGGTAAACCTTCATAACAACGGTCTTGTAGGCAAAACGTACTTGGGGTGTGCGTCCTATAGCTTCAAGCAAAAATCGGAAGAGTGTACTCTGTGCATTCAATATCAGGTTGTACAGCCCGGGAGCTTGGAAGGTCAGGACAGACAGCAAGACAGACCATGCAATCCATTACTTACCCTCAGAATCATACTTACAAGCGAGTACTTCCTCGCCCGTCTGTGTATCGTAAATGATTATGTCACCATCCGCGTAGGCCACCACGACATTCCGTGGCGATGTGTTCATGAATGACACAACGATGGCCGCGCCTGCAAGTGTATTAAGGAAGTAACCACGATGACATTAAGCTTTGCTAGGGATCGAATAAAAATGACTTGCGATGTTGAAACGGATATGGAACTTGAAATTTCCTAGTGTGTTGAGACACTTGCGTCGATAAGGTATGGTCTGTACAGATTATAGTCAACGATATCTCCATAAGATTACCAAAAGATGGAATACCCACGAGGGAGATGACCCCAATAGGGGTGCATCTGCAAACACACTATAACTAATATGCATGGCACATCCGAACAGGACAATTGTTTCTCGAGACTATTTATTAAATAATGCACTACGTGGCTCACGGTATTTACACACTGAAATCGACATTTCTATTGAATAAATAGTATGTATTGCTGTCTCATTTCAAAACACTGCAATTGATTAACACGCATTCACAAAGGCACCTAGAATAGACTTCTCACTTGGAAATATAATACGATACATATGGGGTATCTTGAGATGGATTCCTAATACACGGTACGGACTCGAGTTGCATTCGAACAGCTATATCTTACACTCGATCCCGTATGCTAAATGATAACTGACCTTTGGCGTCGCCACCCCTCCTACACAAAACGGGTGTGTATATGTCTGTGGATGATTCCAGCCGGTCTTGTGAATACTTCCAGACGTAGCATGCACCATCGGACGATACTGAAGCTATAAGGTCCTTGGTAGGGTGTACTACAACACAGCTGACAGGTGCACCATGCTGCTTGAACTCATACAGACATTTCGGAGATTCTGAAGGCAAAATTAAAAGAAATCGTTCCAAAATAACTTGCCATATGCATGCTCGTATTTCAAATGCAAACCATGCTTTTGGATTGTAGTTTATGACCCAAGCTGACAATGTTGACAAGAATGAAGTGATGGATAAAGGAAAGTAGTTTGCATATCGCAGACTAGATGGGTAATTTTTCCCTGAGCCTTCACGACAAAAGAGCAAGGCTTTATATTCATTAAAGGTTCGCCTGCAAAGTAGCACATGGCAATATGGATGATATAGTCATGATAAACATCTTGGCAGTAAATATGACCAGTCATCACCCGCTCAGTTCACATTTGAACTTCTGGACTATGTTACAAGGCATACAAATAACTGGTGGTTCGCAGTTGCATACGCTGAAAAACAATTGCACATATACCACGTAGGGTGAAGAAGCAAAAAAAAATCGTCATACACATACCATTCGGCGCATTAGGCGGACAAGGTAACTCAGGGATAGTCCACACTCTAACTGTAGTGTCGCGGCTGGCACTGAATAGCAATTTTCTTTTGAGTGTCATTGCAAGAGAGCATACAGCGCCACTATGGCCAGTGTACGTGAGCAGCGCAGGTTCCTTATCCCCGACTGGCGAAGAACGGCGGGAAAGCATCCAGAGCTGTGGATGAGTAAAGATGGGAGATTATAAGAACATGTAGTGCACGCGATGCAAAGTGCCTAGCTAATGGGATGGTACACAAACAAGATGCTCTTGATTTGACTGTATCGTAGGTAGTAGAACTTAAACTCCTTTACTTTGGGATTTGTAACTTCGCTCATTCTCTGACACCCCGGTTACATATACGCTTCTCGAGCACGATACACAAAATTTAGCCACCAAACACAAACTTCATGACTCAGACTTGCCTTGATGGTATTATCAGCTGATCCCGTGAATGCAACCGGGTCTGATGTATGGAACAGTATGCAATGTGCCATATCTGTATGGCCATACAAAGCGTACTTTGGCAGCCATTTCTTGGGTTTATTGTCTCTTGCACCGCTAGTGTCAGGCATCAAGGCACTATACAGAACAGTAAGGAATCGCAGCCGAAGAGTGAGTCAAAGTAGTGGAATAATATGACCGACCACTCTAAAGTAGTCATTGCAAGGGTTACCTGGATAGCAGGCTAAAAAACTGAAATCCAAACTTGATAATTTAACAGGGTACACATAAAAGGTGAATTTACGGGTAGATTCTACTTTTACGAGAGGAAATTCTATAGTATCTTCAGGGTAGAAGCTTGCAACAAAGAACAATTACAACAAGACAGAGTAAGGTCATTCGGGGGCACGAGGACCATTTAAATATAGTTGAATTTTACGATCAATATCCAAAACTTTTCAATGAGCCCAGTCGAAAACGCACCGGTGTACCACGCTGTATAGTTGAAATAGACACCCAGCACTTACTCAAGATCATCATCGCTCAGGCTGAGGTTGTTTAGTTGCTCTAAATCTGAGGACCCGCGGTGGGAGTTTGGGCCAGTAGCGTGTCTTTGGTACTGTAGGAGGAGGCGGCATGTGTTAAGTACCGAGAATTCGGTAGGCAATATCGCAACAACTAATTTTGGTTTATTGTTATTGGTCATTATGGCTAATAACGTAAATACCTTCAGACCTTCCGTCGCGCCTACAAACCCCTCGTTCAACAACACTAGCCATAATTGGAGCATTCCATACTATGATTTGCCCAATATATTACCCAACATGCATAAATCGATGAAAGGTAATATTGATCCATTCAGTGCAATATATGAATCAGAGCTATTACTGATCTATATATTGCGCTCGTTATGTGTTCCAAACAGTAACTATGCGTGGCGTACGGGCTAGGATAACTATTGTGCTCGTATCAGAATGTAAATCGATCTTCTCAAAGGTTTAATCCTAACGCACTATCATTCGAATCAAGCGATTCGATGAAAAACATAGCATATCGTACATATCGGAGTGTCTGATTTAGATTCTGTAACGACCAACACACGTAGCATATTGACCGGGATGCGCGACGTCACATATGAGCGGGGTTGCATATAGCAAGATATGCTAATTTGCTAGAAGGAATACACATGGTTATGTTCTTAATAAAATCGTGCACAAGATTGTATACAATATGTGGACAGGACTGAAGGGTTCGCTACTTTCAGGGACCGAATCATGTAATCCAGAATTGTATCGAACTGCCTCAAACTTTAATGTAGCTAACAGTTCGACATACTCTTTTTTCTTCACTGTTCAAAGTGTGAGTGGCATCGGCCTGTACACCTTCAACAACGATATAACACAATGCATAACATGAACTGAACAGCTCATTTAATATATTGGCACACGCAGTCGGGTTTAAGCTTGGAATGACGGTAGTGTGATTTGCAAATATTGATTCTTACCGGACTGCCCAAAGCATGCTGGTGAGCCTTGTCTCCTTTGTGCATCACACGATTGATCTTGGCCATCTCCTCAGAATTTACATCCCGCACAAAAGACTGATCAGCTCCTGTGGCATGATCGTTATTTTCTAAAACACATAGTTGGAACGAGAGCACAGCAAATTCAGATTAGGACATATGCAATTAGATATAGGGTGCCATTTTACCAATACTATGAAAGCTTGTGCAGCTAACAGTGAATTGCTTAGGATATACTGATTTGAGGGTTAGTCACCGAAGGTACATTTTTATATGCGTTAGCATAATGCATATAACTATGTAATTGGATAAAGGTATATGGCGAGGACTATAATACACCAGGGAAAAAGGTCGATTGCAATACACGCGAGGTGCATATACGAACTTGATTAATGCATCTATGACACGCACAGAATAGGTTAGTTTGAAATGAAGAGCGAATAACCCAGTTACCAATATTGAACATATGTAGTACCATCAAAGTTTTACGAAACACACGAGATGTCACAACGATCACTACCTTCCTCAAAGCCCATTTTCCTTTCGCCAGTCGTTGTGACTAAGCGATTATCAACAAAATTATCTTGATCGAGGGCCTGTGTAATATACAGCGATATGAGAGAGAGGACACACCGAATGCGAGAGTAGGAAAATATGGGGAAACGAGCGAATGTATAAAATAAAATAAGACACAATCAACCCATAGCGATAAACAGTGGAAACAATAGCCATACACAGAAAGGTCCTTGGTAATTGCCAATATATGGCAAGTGCACAAACGAACTTTGAGACACAGTATATTTTCGTGCAAAAATTGTCTGTGGCAGGCTCTCTCACATGCTTTAACCACGGAACAAGTACAAATACAAACTATTTCACAAGTGACATCCCGCACGCTGAAATCAGACATCTTGAACGACGAATGGAACACTGAGCGAGCGCATGCACATATGATTCAGATGATGCATGCGATTGAACCCACCTTCGTTGTATGAGCGTTATCGGTTTGCGGACTCGAAAGCTGAGTGACATTAGAAGCACTGTTAACATCGCCGTGCGACCTCGTCCTCTCATTATTTACTCGTTGGTCGTATATTTGCTTTAAATGGGCCACTCTCGACTCCACGAATGATTCTGAAACCTAAGGTAAGAACAAAGAAGCTTCTTAATTAAGAGCGTTTAGATGAACGCGGCGAACATATTAATTTGCGTGGCTGAAGCAAAATGTGTGCCGGCTTGATTTTATCACTCACAACAGAGTTCTTGGAAGAAACGAGACTCTACATCGCTGCACATGCACCTCATATCAGTTTACAGCAAATCATAAGAATACATGTGTATATACTAACCTGCATTTCAAGTAAGTACGACTGAAGAAATTTTCGTGTTGATTCGCGCTTGGTACGCGCTGCACTCCTTGTCTCAACCGATGGTAGTACGGGACGTGTCGTTGCGTGGTTCATTAAATCTTTTGGTATTTGTCCGTTGTGCTGGTTTGTATTTGTTTTCGATGTCGACTGTGTATTGGCATTGTGTTGCGATGTCTCAGGTATGCTAGTGTGAAACCCATGATGCACTTCGCCACCTTCCAGGCCTTGGCCAATATCGCAAGTTTCATCCCCGTTCTCATGGATTACATCTCTAACCGGGTGCGCTAATTCATCCATAGCGCGTACTTCACCATATGTAACCCCAGCAACGTCCCGCGACGCTGGTTCCCCCTCACCAGATTTGCCACCTACTCTCTCTTTAATCATTCCAGCGCTGCTTCCACATGTCATTCTCCATTGTCTCCTCAATGCATGTTCCAGCATCCTAATACGTCGCACAAGATCGCGTTTGATGTTGTCACTGGCTTGCTTCTCGCCTTCCAACTGAGCTATTAGATTCTGTAAAAAATCAAGGATCAGCAGCACTTTTAGTGCAATACCTCGTACAAGCGAGAAGTCTGACAACCGTGACAGACGTGGAGCTATTATCCTGCGATGCCATGGAGATGAAGCGCAAACCAATCGAACAGAGTATTATAGAATATTTGGGTTTAAGCTCCAACAACCGTGTGTCAATGAGCTTTCATCGCAGGGACTACTGAGGACTGTTCAGGTTGGCTGACTGCACATGACGTGGAACAAACTTATTTTTCCACGAGTCTATTTTTATCTTGATAAATAAACAATTTTTTGATACTTTAGAGACCGGCTTGTACTCCATGGTGGAAATACCGTATACAATGTAAATATACTTAAAAACCCTAGGCTACAAGATTGAATAAGAGTACACACCAATTTGTAACACATACACACCACAATGGAATATAAAAGCCACAATATAAGCATATGCATATATACGTAAAA